CTTGGCCCATTCATATGATTAGATAAAATGAGAATCGCTGATAGTACTACAGAATTCCTGATTTTACAGAGACATTTCTGTCAAATTTATTAATGTCAGTCCAATAACTATTCAATGGTTTTGCCAGTTTTGTAAAGCAAAATCCAAATAGTCTGAAAGCTTTATAACGTTCTTAATTAGAGACGAAGAGAAACTTGGTTCTTGACCTAGTGTTAACGTTTGACTTTTACAAGGACACCCAGCTCTGATGATGTCCACCACAATACATCTCAATAAGCACGGTAAAAATTGTAACAGTGAAGACGTGATAGGAGGATATAGGAAATTTGAATAGCCCAGGGCAGAAGGGGAGATACCACAACTGTTTAGCACACATTTGGTCAAATGATCGGCTTCACTTATCTCTTTGACGAGTTGTTGTGTGATGCTAAGAATGGTGAGACTCACTGACGATGCCGGCGAAACGTCTAGGAATGTACCACATCCATGGTCATACTCTGGAAATGATCATGCATACATTGGACTCCGGACTAGGTGTGTTCCATTAAGTCTTCCTACCAATATGACCAAGTTGTGAAAACATGGTCAACCAACCTCTATACAACGAAAGGAGACTGCGACCACACAAAAGGCCACACCATCTTGGTCTTCATACCTTCGATTACTATTCATAAGTTGAATATTCTAGGTAGAGAAAATTTGAGGATAATTCCACATCCAGAAAATTTTAAGCAAAACAATTAAATATGATGTACGGCCGAGATAGCACTTTTCTGATTTTAGTTTAGTTGCAAAAGGTACAGGAGTGGTCGTTAATGTGTTATATTTAAATGGAAAAACTTGTGAGCCAGAGAAATGGGTCACTATGAAAACTATATCGAAATTTAATATCACTAAGAGATCTATGAAAACAAATTTTTTAATCTAAAGCATCATCAGTTATATAAATACTTGTATAAAGTATCATCTAATGATTCGACCCTTTTGCTAATAAGCCTGAACCATGCCGTGTAGACATGTAAACAATAAAAGAAGTAAATGAAAATCATTAAAAAAATCGATCGTTTAAATCGTGGCGCTCTAATTTCATTCAACTTTTGCCTAAAGGACTTTTAGATGCTTTCGAAATATAAAAAAATCGGGTGAACAAAATGAATAGGGGACATACATTCACCTTTTTAGATCATCAATTTGTGATAATTAACTGACCACCATAGATCTACGTCCGTTTCTGAGGCAGGCGAGGCTGATCATAATAGATTGGACCGTGGGTGCACATGCGCCAGTTTTATTCCTAATAGGTAACAACTAGCTTACTATAAACAGTAAAAAACAGATACTTCTCATAAATGTGACTTATTCCAGCACATGCGACACACCGAACGCATCTTGTTCAAATGAGCGACCACAGCGTCTGTTAATACTTCCCAGCCCTTATTTTGATGTGAGTTCGGTTGCCCACTGCGTACAGTCAACACAGCGTTAAGAAGCAGGACTCCTTGTCGTGCCCAGTTGGTTAGGTCGCCATGATTTGGTGGCCAAATTGTTGAATCCCCACCATCAGCAGGTAGGCTTGAGACCAGTTCCTTGTACATGTTAATCAGAGAAGGTGGGCTGGGCTTGGGTCTGCGCACTGAGAAGGCAAGTCCATGCGCCTGGCCTGGCCCGTGATAAGGATCTTGACCGAGCAGGACGACGCGAACAGAATCAATCGGTGTGAGCTGACTCCAAGAGAAGACCTTGATGCAGAGTAAAGAAATGAGCGAATATGCATGCATAAATGTAGAAGAGATAATGAGGTCAGTATTATAACGGCTTGAAGGATAAGAGTAAGGGTTTTTAAGCTATTGAGAAATTGCATAAAAATGCAGCATGTAAAGCAAAATGTAGCTGAACAGCGGGAACATCTTTTTAGTCCAAATAATTTAAGTGAAAAATTGGAGACCTAAAAATAATCACACATTAATCAGTGTTTATGCCTATGTAGATCCTTGTTTTTGTGTAAAATAGGCAACGAAACCAAAAATAAAAAAATAGATTTGCCTGATCTGCTGGAGGAAAAATTGGTATTCTTCCGACCCGTTCAGAGACTAGGAACTGGGCCAGCTGGTGAATTTTGCTGCTGCGTAACGTATCTGCCAGACCACAGGTCCAATCAGCTGCCAATCCAGATGTCAAATGATTGACCGAAGCATCTAGGCCCCGTCGGATCTCAGCCACCTTTCCAGAAAGAGACTTGAATATTTTAGGTTGCGAAAAAGCTTGTCTGATTGTAGTTGGCGGAATATTGATTAAAGGAATAAAAAAGAGGTAATGTTCATAAGTACTCATTTGGGAATTGTATTAATACATGCAATGTTGTAAAAAGTAGCATATATTTGGATTATAGCATGCGCCTGTTTTATTGGTCCTTTAAATAAATGAATTTATATAAACAAAAATATACTTTCTGATAATCCAGTCAATTAAAAATACTGTAATTGGCTCTATTTAAAGGAAAATATTTATTGCTTTATGAACAGTCAAGTTAGCATGCAGGTTCATCCCAATCGATCCCTAATCAATATCCTCTATTTAAAACCCTAGGAGCATAAGGACTAGTGTAAAAAATAAATGCGAGCCATAAGAATAATGTACTTATAGAATATGATTTGGAAGTTGGCTAAATGAGTGAAGAAAAGTTATATACGATCGGTCTTGATGGCGTCTGCCTGTCCAAACGAGCCCAAGTAGTTAATTGTGAAATGATCTGTTCATTTATACTAAATTAATATAGTGATGCTGTATTCATGCCTAATAAATGACTAGGCATTCCTATCTGGGCTGAATGGATAAATTAGAGAATTCTATAAAACATGCAAAATTGTAAAGAATATAAACACCCTCGAAAACTCGATTATGTGAGGGTTTGTCAGCCGCCTTGTTAATTTCAAAGATTAGCGCTAATATGGTCCAAGTGAGGGTCACGTAAACGCGATTCAAAAGAATAAGAGAAAGACAGAAAAAAGGTGTAGACTAGTGCACAAACATGATTAAGACTCACTCTGTGCTCAGTGGTCTATCCTGCACATTCTTAAGCAAACCAGAGAGAGTTATAAGCTCTTTTGCAGTTTCCTTATGCTCTGTATCAGGGATATAAAAGAGATGCAAAAAATAAAATAACGTTAAGGAGATAAGTCATTAGGATGTGGAATAATATATCGCAAATCAGATGTGGAGCAAAATGTTATACTTGTTATTGAAGGAAAATCCAATCGTGTGAAACCCCCTAAGGGAAAAAAATCACGAACAATTGCCCAGGGTATTCGATTCATTGGCAAATTATAACGGTGCAAAATAGTATTTATGTAAAATCTGATATAGTCCAAGTAGTGCTCGTTTAAATAAGAAAATTTCTAGTGAAAACTCCTGATTTGATCAAAGGAATGAAGACCAAGATAGTATAGCTTTTACTATAATGGCGGTATCCTTTCGATTTATGGTAGTGGTTTGACCTCGTTTTGGTAACCTGATTGTACTGACAAAGGGACCTAGATGAACTCGCCTTGTCCAGACCCCTCAGCCACAGTACCCATTATTATTTCAGGTATCGGAGCGTACATTCGCATTTGGAAACTACAGTTCACTATAGATAAATAGCCTTTTGGGAGATAATGTCAAGTTAAATTCAATGGCACATTAAGGCCTACACGTCTCACTGTTGGAAAACATAATCATCAATCTTCAAGCAACCTTAAACGAACTGGTGACTAAGATCTTACTTTAGAGACCTACTTATAGCGAAAAGAAATAACTTTGCCAAGTGCAATGGTAAATATATGATTGCTTGATCGACAATCCCACGACAAGAGAGAAGCTTGTCTTTAATGTACATTTTGCTTGCGACTCACCGGCAACCATGGCTGCTTAGTAGAGTGGTAATGCTGTCACGATACTCAAGAGCCGGAATCAAATCCCGTTGGGGATGCTGAGGCCTAGGTAGTTCAGCACTACTTTAATGAGATAGTCTTATGGAAACAAAGCTATGCAAATAGGTAGGAAGACCAAGAT